AAATTTCGTTATATTTTTAGAAAAATATTTCCATCAGGGAATCTTGAAAATATTTCAATACCTCGCTCCAGTTGCCGATTTTCCAAGTTGGACACGAATGACGATTGCACGTAATCCTAACTACTGGTTGTTGATGGAAGTCGCAGTAATAATCTGGCGCAAACAGTCCTGTTCCCGATGAGATACACTTCACTATCCTGCTTTTGTATCCGGTATTGCATTTTTGTGAGCACTATATAAATGAATATTAACAGATATTATAAATATTACAAGTGTTATAAGTGTAAAAAACTTATAAAAATTATAAACTTTCAACTTCTGTCAGAAAAATAGCAAAAGATAACGGAGGCAATTACTTTGATTAAGAAAATTTGCTTTAAATATTAGACATTAATAGATTTTTGATGAAAAACTCCGCAAAACTTAGTTAATAGCCTAATATAATATGTATAAATGTATATTGTGAATTTTACATTTATGCGCTTCAACAAATCGTCCAACAAACTCATTCAAATAAATTGATAATAAGAATGAATATGTAAATGCTGTTTGAATATTTGTAATAGACAAATAATACTACCTCTCCGTAAGATCCCACATGCCATTTGTAACGTGAGTGGAACGTAATGCCGTTACTGTCAATTTCGTTGTCTTGTTGAAAGGAATCTTCACGCGGAGAATTGGATGAATACGTTGTCGACGGCAAGTTCACCTATAAAAACAAGATAGTAAAACTTTTATACGCGATACGTCATGGAAGATGTAACAAATATTTAAAATTATTAATAATTATACTACTTATATATATTTTTAAATATAACTGATTTTAATACACACATAATGAATACAAAATCCATTATCCATTTTAATTTGATTCTTTATTTATGCTGTATGTATATCAAAAGATATTATCATGTCTTATGTGAAATTTACGCGCAATGCAAAACCGACAATGTATCTTTACACGAGTTGACGAATTGAAACTACCTACAATTATCGGATCTGAGTGACATCGATGCCGGTTGAGCTGCTAATAGGCTTAATATTTTAATACCTCGTTTCAGTGTCGATTTTCCAAGTTGAACACGGTATAATTTTATTTATTGTTGCTAAGAAACTATTTTTGTTAAATAAACAAATATAATATTAATAACTTACGATACTGGGGCATGATTTCAATGTACACGTAGCTAAATCCTTTGGTTTTTCGGAAATGGGGCATTCGTTGCTCGTCGTGCCATCGGCATTTTTGCAAACAACTTTTCTTCGGATTGTTCCTTCGCCGCACGTCACAGAGCACTGTATAATAAAAGATTAAATTCAATTCGGAGGCTCAATAAACGGATGATATAGATAAAAAGTTTGAAACTACGTTTAATTGTATAAAAATACAAAAAAAATATAATTCAATATAAATATTCAATATAAATATCATTGTATTTATTGTAGTACTAACTTATTTTCTACCAAACTACAATCGCGTGGAAAGGATGATTTTAACGTCTTCTACATCTTTCACGTTATGTTGAATTTTGCGAGCGAATTTTCCGTTTTTGTATTTTTGTATTTTTATTTTTGTATTTGTATTTTTATTAATGTACACTAAAGAAGACCTGATGGCAGGTCAAAACGTTTGATTGATGTAAACAATTTTAACGAATATATCTTAACCTTCGCACGAAGAACTAGCATTGTGGCTCTTCACGCTCCTATTGATTTTAATTGATTTTAGTAATCAGTTGAACCTTATATATTATTAATTTAAAAAAAAAATACAATTTAAATTTGCAATATTTTCAAATCTCAATATTTATAAATATTTCGTAATCAGTACTGTATTGAAGTAGCAATATATTCTTGATTTCATTAACAATGTACTATACCGGACTCCAGTCGCCGGCATGCCACTGATGACAAGGACCAGCATCACAGACCTCCGTTGTCCCAGTCGGCGTACCGTTGCAGAAGAAGCGCGATACTACGCGATTTTCGACTTGGCACCAGAAAGCCTTGTGCCGTTTTCCCATGCCGCACGTCACGGAACACTGTAACGTTTCATGACAACACGTCGTGTTTCATTAATTCACATTGTTAAACATTATATCCGGTACCAAATAAAATATTTAAAGCGTGACAAATTAATATCTTAAAAAATATTGATCTTTAGAAGAAAATATTTGAAATAAAAACAAATATAAAAATTTTTTTCAATAAAATTCTAAGAATTTTTAGGTAGAGTCGTTTAAGCCGCGAAGCGCGTGTTTAAAAATGTTCCTATGATTTTTTAATGAATTACGCAATTACTTTCAAAGCAACAAATTCAATTATATTCTTTGTCCACAAACTTTTGACTGGTAGTGCATATAAGTGTCATTAACAACTGCAGTCAATTTTCAAGTGACACGTACATGCGTCATTAATATTTAAAAGATTGCAATATCTTTCTTTATTACTGATATTTAAAAGAAATTAATACATCACGCATTACATGCCTGATTCTCTATAGTACGCATCTTACATGACTCCATTCTCCCAAATCCCACTTTGGACACGCCTCTTGACTACATATTTTCTTGAGATGCTTTTCCTGTCGGGCGCAATTTTCATCTCGTACAGGTCGCTCGTTTGAATCAACGCATATTGCGCTTCTTAATTGCACACCGCCGCCGCACGAAACACTACAGGTATTCCATTCGCTGTAACTCCAATGAGCATAATCGCACGGGCCTTCGCATGCTTGATGCTCATTCGGTTTTTCAATATGCAAGCATGCGTGTGCCGGTATTGACCGTGGTGGATGTAACGAATCTAACACGATCTGAATGCATCGCGAGGTAATGGTTTGTATGCCAGGCCCGCAGTAACTCGAACATTCGGAAACGGATGTCACTTGCCACCTGTAAGTGAAAGCAAAAGCAATATGTTTAACAATTCAGTCATTTGTACACAAAATTATACACCAAAAATACAAAATTTTTTAGTTCTTTAATATATATATATATTAACAGTTTTGATTACAGTAAAAAATAGCATTCATATTTGTGTTTATCTCATAAACAAGACACAGAAAAATTTAGAATTGATTATAATTCAATTTAATTACATTAAATGTAAAAGAGTACCATATTATTGAATACATCAATCCTGCATCTTCATGCACTTTGCTTACTTACTGGAGCATGCAATGCGCGTTGCATATCTCGCTCTCTTCCTTCGGCTTTTTCTCGACTTTACAATAATCGTCGGGCACTATGTCGTTGTACTCAGTGCTTCTACATTTGGCCTTACGATATTTCATACCCTGGCACATTCGATTACATGCTGACCAGTCACTGAGCAGCCATGTATAGTTGTCCAAGATTTTTTTCGGTACGGTATACTCGTACGTGATCTGTGGTGGGTACACATTCCCTACGGACAATACCTGGAATATCGTATTTTCATTAGAGTGCAGTCAAATCGAATAGATTGTTTCTTAAGCAAGACTTCTGAAGCGTTTAATCGTGCTAAATTTGAGAAGAGTTCCGATTAATTCACGTTTTATTTTAATCAAATTTTACTAGCATTCCAGGTAGTAAATGATTATGACTTATGTACTTGGCGTCGCTTGAATTATTGACTCACATATTCTACACTAACACATTTATAAATGATCGAATTGGTTTAACCAGATCAATGATAGATAAACAAAGCGATTCTGCGTAATTTATCCCTTGTCTATCAAGTGAACATACTGGTTATATTGCCATTATTAAATAAAGTCGAATCGCATAGGTGTCAACTTATAGAAATGTATAGTTCCTGAGATATTCAAATTTTTATTGTCTGGCTTGATTAAAAATGTTTTAAAGTTTTATATTAATAAAGATTTTAAAAATATTTTTTGAAATGTTTTATTTTATTAGTGTGCTATGTTTCAGTGAGTATTCACGCATGTCAAAATATCGTTATCAGAAAAAATTAATGTATAAAAAACCGCGCTTTTTAACGCACTCTTTTATTAGCATTAACAATAAACAATAATAACAATTAAAACATCAAATTCTAAACTCTACAACAAGTTACAAATCGAATTCTACTTTTAAAGAATTAACAAGGAAACGTACCTAAGTGTCCTCCTCCAATTTTGATACGTTTTGAACCTGTTGTACAGTGGCTAAAAATAAGAGATACGTATTTTTTTTATATGTGTTTTCTCACATGTTTAGAAGTTGATATAAGCTGATGATATAATGATATATTTGATTGCATTTATGTGTCTAATATTTGAATAAAATTAACATCGTGAAATACATAACTGAAGAATTTTTAATTATTATGCATATTTGCAAATAATTACCGTTGTTGTTACTTTGTAATACAGAATGATATAGAACAAGCTCTAGTTGAGTACTGCGTGGCATATATAACGCGGTATTCATAGCTCATTTCTCAAAAATACGATTTAAAAAATGTAAGATTATATATTATAATTAAATTCAGTGTAAAAAATCCTTCATTTTTATCCATTTTTATCCTTACAAAAAGTTTGAAATTTGCAAAAATAAAAGAGGAGGGAAGTGTATTGTATAAAAATATATAACTGCACGATTGTAAAAAACATTAAATACTATACAATTTTTTTCTAAAATATTTTTTTATATCTTTTATATTTTTTACGATATTCTCTCAAAAGTACATATACCGTGTCAGCTTGTAATTGTTGTTTCAACTTTTAAACGTGCGAAAAAGCACATATAAAAAAATACGTTTCTCTTATTTTTAACTACTGTACGACATATTCAAAGCCCATCAAAATTGGAGAAGGAGATTTGGATACGTTTTCTTATAAACAATGCGTATTGACTCACTCAGTATTTTGGAGAGCAGATCGTGCGCATACGCAATCAAAAAATCTAAAATCTAGCAAAATGATAAAAATTTTTTAATATTTCAGGAACTAGACAAGTTTCTGCAAGTTAGCATTTGAGGCACTTATTTAGCAAGTGTTATGTGCTAGTAAAATTTGACAAAAAACGGATATGGATTCAATACGGAATTTTAGCTTACAAATTATATAATTTTTTAGAGTAGCACTGATTATTATGAAATGCAGATTAAAGAAATGAAAAATAAAGATATAAAGCCACAGCAAATAAAGCGAAACATACATACACGATGTGGAAGCACTGGAAAATAAAATATAACAGCGAAATTGTGCGAGTCAAATGAAAGCGATAATTCAGAGGGTGGGTAAAACAACATACTACCCTAATATATTTCATTAAATGATAAACTTGCCTCTAAAATTAAATCAATTGCAGTGGGCCGAGAACTGTTCAGACGTTCTACGACCAAATCCGGTCCGCTGTATTCAATAGTTATGCCCGGATGCACGATCACTTTACGGTGCATCACCATAAAGTTGCCGTTTAAGATGTATTCACCATTTTCTTCAATTCGTAACGCTGTATGACAAAATGATTAATTGAGATATTTTTATTATATCCTTATTAATTGAGATAATTTGGTGCCTGATATCCAAATATGATCTTTGATATGAGAATACATAGAAAGAAGCACCAAGTATTTAAATATTTGTAATTACTTTAATTAAAATTTTTTAACAAAAAGTTGGTTTAAAAATTAAAATGTCTGAAACAAAATGTTTTAAAATTTGAATAAATATTAAGAAACAAAAACTCTTTATTATTTAATCCTTTGTCTTTGAATGCCGTATATATTAATATGGCGCTCCAAAATTTATTTGTGTACTGAGTGTATAAATAAAAATTATAAAATATAATACATTTTACTTTATTATATTTTATAAAAACTAATAATAAATATTCTTTTAAATTTTTTTTAATATATTAATATCACATTTGAATTCAAAAACCATAAAAATTTATGGAAATCAAGTTTGATGAGAATAAAATAATTTGTTAAATTTGTGTTTGCTACATTGCATTTGAAAATTTTCACTAGTTGAACGGTTAACAAATATGTTCGTTATGTTAATTATCAAAAAATCAATTGGAAACAACTTATTTGACTGAACAATAAACTGTATACTTTAATATGAAAGTCTTACCAAGGTAATTACTGTCATTGTGAGACTCCAGCCATCCATGTTGTCTGATATCGATGTAGCTGCTTCCAGCGGGGATTTTAGCCACTTTTGTATAACCGTACATGCTAGCATTGTAGGAACCCGCAATCCTTTGACAGGTAGAATTGTCGCCTCTACAGACTCCGCAGGTGTCCAGTTCAGCCGTTGAGTTCAAGGCATGATCGCATCCAGCCGGTTTGCAGTGACCGTTAACACATATGTGGAAAGTGTCGGGGCCACAAGGTGTGCCGTCGATTACTTTATCGCGCAGCATGTAATACTGATTGCTCTCCACTTGGCAGTACAATTTGCAACGATCCTGCGACAGTACTATAGAAGAAAGATTTTTACTATAATTTCCGAATTCAAAAACGTTATCGTCATACCTAACCGAAATTGTTTCGTGATTTAATATTGATTTCTCTAATTATATAATCCCATCCTTTCTCTTTCCTAATTAATTAATTATGAGATAGTGTTATTAGCAAAGGGAAAAGAGATGAGAAAATCACAAAGAGGGATCAAAGTACAAGTAGTACAAAGTTAGAAAGGGAGGAGGAATAGAGAAATACTTAAAAAAGGACTGAAAGATGGATGGAGTGGATAAAAGTGGGTAATTTTGTGAAAATTTATTTGAATTGAAGCCAATCAAATACTTAAAAATAAATTAAGATGGCATACAAATAATTGCTTACTTCTGGTATATTTTGCGTGCCACTTAACATCAGTTGCAAGATTTTGAATGTTGAAGTTGTTGTTGTCGAATTCTGAACACTGTTTTTCTCTGTAAAGCAAGAATTCAGACGCGTAAAATTTCAAACAATTTAATCGAACACGGTTCTCCAAAAAAATCGTGCGGGATTCTTTATCAACAAGTGTTGCAGTACATAATTCTTTTATAAAAACAAATGTAAAAATTAAATAACTTTAAATTAATTAGAGAATTGGACTTAGATTTTGCGTAGAAATATTCAGAATAAACAATAAAACAATCTATGTCGATTTTACCGATCTGTTACGACATATCGATTGTATTTGTCAAATTTCCAGCATATAATTATCGCAGTTATTTTTTTCTTTTGCGGAACAATCTTCAAGCAACGTGTTAATGCACATACCTAAAATCCGGGTTATCTGGCGGGCATTCCTTGACGCCACAACTGCGGTACTTGACGCGTTCACCGATACAGTAATTGCCACCGTTCCTAGGTGGTGGATTGTCGCACTCACGGTACTTCTTCTTGATGCCGCCACCGCAGGTGCGCGAGCATTCGCCGTAACGTCCCCATTCACCCCATTGACCGTGCACTGGCTCAAGGTTTCGGCGTGAGACGCATTCCCCACGATGACACCACTTGTCGACGCCACATGCCGTGCCGTCGGCCCAGGGCATGTGCTGAGTGTGACACTGTTGATGCTGATCCCACAATGGCGCAGTGCACCATAGTCTCTTACACACTGCCTGGCCAGTAACCAACCAAGCCCTTGATTTACTTAATTCTTAAGCGAATCCCGTCGTAATCAGCGACGTATTATCACGTACAAACTGCACACGGTTCAAACTTACATATAAACTATAATTCGAACGAAATTTTGGTTTAATCCAATATTTCAATCAAACGCGTAAAGAGAACATTTTCGACTTACCATCACTCACCATGTGAGGACAGATCCTGGATCCTTGCCCGAAAACAAGTTCACACTGCTTGTTCTCCGAGTAATCCTCGCCAGGCAGTCGACCGTCTTGTCTCTCCATCATTTTGTGTGGTTCATCTAACAAGCAATTGGCATATCCGGCTCTAGAACAATAATCGACGAGTCTTTCATATTGACGATATAAATTGACGAGTCTTTCAATTTGCAAATTATATTTGTTGATTGCAAAACTTATTATGAAATAATACGTGTACAGGATGTCCCAGGTTTTCACGGCCAAACATTGTCAGTATGTTCTATGGATATAAATAAGTGATGAAGTTGAATAAATAACTGACTCACTCCAGAAACTCGGTGACGTAGTGTCGGGAACACCTGGACCATTCCCAGGGAAAAGTGTTATCATCCAGCATGCGAGACATTATATTGTGCACACCGGAACGATTCCTGAAACCTGTGCATTTGGCATCGTCGTCATGCGGCATGTTGAGTCTGCGAAATTTGTTCCGAATATTCTTTTCGAGTCACAAGCAAATGTTTGAAAAGGGATAATTGTGATAATATTACATGCGCGACGAAAAAATTACAATAATAAAATATCCATGATGATCAATATATACTTACACGTGACCAATTTCGTGCGCAATGGTAAACGCTGCGGCTAATCCATTATCCTGCACAATTGCGCATGAAGATCCTGGTGAGCACATTCTACCCAGCTCGGCCAGACCCAAAGTGTCACAACGCTTTTGACGCGGATTGTGACACAAATTTTCTCTAAAAATTTACTTTTAATTTATAAACATATACAGATATTAAATTTATAAATGTATAGGCTTATATTCTAAGCTCACATTTATCGTTACATTTATCCGATCAACTTTAAAGACGCGGACATACTTTAGAAAAATGCCTCTAAAGTTAAGTGTATTTTCACCGCATATTTAGAGCGCCTCTAACTTACATAGATTGTTACTACGCGTCTCTAACTTAGATTGTTACTACGCGCTCGCGGTACTAGCATGCTTATGCCTTAGTTATCTTTGTATTTCTTGCGCTATTGCACCTTCAGCACTTCTGTATTTTAAAATCGAGAAAATTTTGTAACACGAAGGTGGCTCCCTAATTGCAAATAATTACATTTTTCTTTGTATATTTCTGATTTTTTATTTCAAAATATCAATTCTTTTATTTTAAAAGTACTTTTGTTTAGTTCAGAAAGTGCTAAATGCCTTTTTTACACAATAATGTGTTACATATCAGCGGCAGTCTTATAAGAATTTATATTTTACGATGTAAATTTCTAACACAAACCTAGTTAAAAGAAGCGCGACGTCATGATGTTCTGGGGAGGGCTCGTCTGGATTGTTGCGCTTCTGCCATTGGCAGAATTGCTTCAACATTTCGGCTGCTGCAATCCCGTCGCTTCCACTATGTTTGACACCAAATACCTCGTTAATTTTGATGATCTTCATCACAGCTATGCTGACTGGATTGCCAATAGATTGGTCCTTGTAAATTCGTGAAACCTATCCTTCCAGAAAAGCAAATAGATATAATAGAAATAACATAAAATCCAAGACCCAAGAAGTAGAAGACCCAACGAAAACATATGCTCACCGTGCTCATCAATACAAGAATGTAGCTGATCAAACTGTTGCCGTGATACTCCACCATCTTCTTATCGGCTACTACCATTACCTCGATGAAGTATTCACGTGGTAAAGCTCGCCGCGGTCTCCACGTCACGAAGGGATTTGCATCCATCTCTGAGTCCTGTACGTAATCCTCGTTTTGATAGCTTTCACGTTCTATCGTCCTTCCATTTATGCCATAATGTCTAAGATTAATAAAATCAAGGTTATTGGAGCATACTCTATAATATATAATTATCAGAGTCAAGACTTACAAAATTTACATATTTATAGCGCTTATACCTTTCATCATTGTCCATTCCTTGAAAAAAATCCTGATGTCCGCTTTGCTCGATTAACCGTTCGTATTCTTTGTCCTCCTTTTTGAAAAACTGTTCCGACGACATGATTTTTCTTGTTAATGATCTACGCTCTCGCGAACCGACGTAAATTTTATGCGCCGAATTATTGCCCATCAATAGCGAGGAAGTGTCGTCCAGATCGTAATCTGTAAACATTGATAATGATTGTAAAGAATTGAATCGATCGTTCATATAATATCAGCAGCAGTTTCTTTTATATTATTATATGTAGATAAATATAATAATGTAATGTATAGATTTTTTTATTATTTATTAAATCTATATAAATTAAAATCTGTTAAAATTACGTTCAAATTATGCTTAATTCAACGGCTGCGCGCAGTGTTTTAAAACAGCCTATGTAAAATTTTTATAAAATTTAAACAATGTAATAAATAATAAATAAATATTATTATTTAATTATTAATATTAGTTTTCAATTTTCATTAATTTTTCTTTTGATAAAAACAGAAAAGAGGAAACAAGAAATAAATTAATCTACCATTAAAGATAACCAACGTCGATAGTTTTTCATAACTTCACGGATTGGAATGTATTAACGTTAAAAGCATTATATAACTTTCAAGTTTTGATTCAATCAATTATTAGTCTGTTAATATAATTTCTGCTTTTTACGTTTCTTTTACGTCGTGCGATATTACGAATGATATGCACTTTCACTGGATTGAAAATATAATGTATATTATGAAACTTTCTAGCGGTTATTTTAAATATTTTAGGTGCATTTTATGAGAAAAGAATGGATTTGTAATTTTTGATACGTGTATTGCTGCGATTTTAACATTACAAAACGTGATAAATAAATGTGATATTATTTCTATTTTCTTGAACTTTATGCTGCTGATAAATTCCAATATGATCGGAATAATTCCGTTTTTGACTAGTTGTTTTATTATGGAAAGATTTAGAACTTGAAAGATTTCTATTATGGGAATATTTCGAAAGATTTCGAAGCGATTGGAATGACTCCGACATCTCTCGAGCGAATTATTAGGTTGGCCGGAAAATAATTACGGTTTTGATGAAACGTTTTTTGAAATAAATTATTTTATTAGGTATATGTTGATTATTATAATATATCAGTTAAAAGCTTATTTCATGCTCTATCTAACTATGTTATTTGTGTTTATTAATAATATCAATTTTGCTCAATTTCAAACTGTTGAAAAAATATGGAAAAACCAAATTTTCGGAAGATTTTTTTCTAGGTTCAAGCTTGACCAAAGTACAGCTCGGAATATCACCGAAGTGGGGCGAGAAAAGCGCTAACAAACGTACAGTTCAACATTGCTTCAAAAACTTTTGTGATAGAGACGTTAGTCTTGAAGATCATGAGGATCGTGGACGACATTCTTTGGTGGATGATGATTGTCAAACTTTTTTCTCTTTTCGATTGCTTTCAAGTATTCTTTAATTGTTGTTTTCCCTACGCCTAACTCTTCTGCAAGATCGCGAACTGTTGTGCGTGGATCGGTTTCCACCAAAGCCTTCAATTGATCGTCGTCCACCAAAGAATGTCGTGCGCAACTCTGTATTATAGTATTAAAAGAATTCAAAATAAATAAGTAAAACTTGGCTTACCTATCACACCGCAGTTGCGATTCTTAACTTGATCTCCGAAGTTAGAATCATTATTCAGATTGGACGATGGCGAAGATACACGGTAGATTGCGTGCTGCAGTGATGATCCAAGGGAGTCTTTGTCACCTTCACGCCATTGTTCAGTAGGTTTAATAAAATAATTTCCCATTGATGTCTTCATATGACCAGTCTAGAAAACATAATAAAATTTATCAAATATTAACACATTTAACAGCATAATTAATAAACTTCCCTCGAAAAATTATCGATTTTTTACGAATGTTTACTCTCTTCTACCCGCTCACGAGAATTAATCCCATTATTCTGAGACACTCTGTATTTATATATTTTTAAAACATTTCTAGCTGCTTGTATAAAATAACATTTTTTTATTTATTTCAGAGAAAATCGATTTTAAGTACATATTTTTTTAACTGTCATAATATTTAGGAAACAAAATTTTTCATGTGACTACTACAGCTTTCGATGGAGCATAAAAAAAAACTCCTAGATTTAAAAATTTACTTTTCAACAATTAGACAAAATTTCGTTGAAATTATTTATAAATGCAGTGTATTGTGAACATTACACATTGCGCGTTTACGTGAAATAGGAGAAGATTTTGGGTTTCCGTTTATTTTAACTCACGGCAACTTATAGAATGCTATTAGAAGAATGTTATTTACAAACGAAACGCTGTCCGTTGTTATTTTAACCGCAAAACTCTGCTAACTCTGCTAACGTTAACTTCTCGATTAAACATCCTAACGGAGATGAACTCTCTCATTTATTTATTTTTTTTATTCTTAGCACGTGCGTTGCGGAAAAGAAGGGAATATAGAGCAAACTTGAGCTATTCCAAACACTTATAATTTATAGTACGAATTGATATCATTAATTTTTCATAATTTAACCATAAGTTGAATTGTGAAATAAATAATCTTTTTTTTTTTCAAAAAAGTAATTATTTTGGTGGTAAATGTTTTGAATTAACAATCAGGCTTGATCGTCTTCATTTTCATATACATATGTTATTAAGACCATAATCTTGAATAAAAGTTTTAGCCGTCGTTTATTTACATATTAAAGTTATAAAAAAATTTCACGAATGACACGTGATTTTCGGACGCCAGTAAGGACTTATTCATTACAGATATAGAATTAGTTCCTCGTATTTCTCCAGTTTAGGAATTTTCAAGAAAAGTCGTTATGCTGTCGTTATGTTGATATGTAGCAAATATTTTCCTCTTGCTTGTTTTATAGAAGTATTTTTAGACATACAGTTTCTGTTACGAATTCGTAGCCTCAATATACTGTTACAAGAATTTCTTCATTTGACATACAGTAATGAAGTATGCAGAATAATAAATCTTAATTATCTGTATACAAGTGATACGACGCTATAATATGCAGGCGTACGGCGCCAACACCGTGTGCGACAAAAGATGTTCGCAATGCGAATAATCGTTATGTTCGTAATTCTTTACATTAAAAAGTAAGCATTCAAAAAAATCAAATTGATTTTGAAATCTCCTTAACATCTCCACCTACAAAATAAATCGTTTCCATCATACGACGCCCCTCTCAATATTGAACATTTTTTATATAAACAATTCTTTCACATGCCTCAAATTTTGGAAATATTTACATCGATCACTTTATACGAATTGCCCTGCATATAAAGCAGACTACAAAAATACTGATACATTATCCTTAATATCTACGATACATTTGTTTTGGAATGCAATTTTGTTTGCTGATTGTGATATGCTTTGATTCACGCGCTTTTGCAAACCTGTATTTATGTTAAAACATCAAAACCTGATCGCGCAATGATGCGATATAAAAAGATTAAAAGCAATACCAAGAGTAGTTATACCGAGAGTAGTTATACCGAGAAAAGTAATACCGAGAAAAAATGTTTCAAGCAGTGCTACTCAGAAAAATATATACGAGACGCATCATGCGTGCATAACGTTTCGCATGCATGCAGAGTCAGCTGTTAAATTAAAGGCGGTTAGAATAGCGGACCAGACGAGCTAGTTATCTTTATTTAGGTTCCGCTTAATACGCAGAACACATAATACATCATAATAAAAGATGACTGGCTGCAACGTGTCTCACGCGTCCGCAGAGAAAATAATGTACTGTAATTTGATGCATGAATGCGTCTAAATGTTTAAGGGAATCCTGGAGTCGTCTTTTATCAACAAAATGTTAATATTTTTTTATTGCTTCTGTAGAATCACAAATACTTTTGCGTGATTAAAGTACATACGCTAATAGAATAATGGGTGATTGATTTCAAATCGCAAAATAAAAAAAAATTTAGAAATTTTACTGACAAAAAAACTATTGGTTTATACAAATATTTATTTTATATAAAAGTTATACGATTTAGATGTGTAAAACAAACCTAGGAGCCCGAAAAAGATATTTATTATTCCAGTCATTATTGTATAAAATACAAAATAAAGATAAATATATATTTATGCATGTATTAATTAATTAATTAATTTTGTATTTATTATATAAAAATAAAAATAAGAAAGCATATAACATTTTTCTGCAGTTAAATGTATTATATGTATCATGTTCAAATATTATTTTATCATATTTAGTTTATATTTATTTGACACCTTGAATATGCCTGTTTCGTCTCGTATTATATTGCAGCCTTATGACAAAATTTCGGTTGAGGAAGTGCAGCGTTTGTTTAGAAACCATCCGACAACACATACATAGACCACACGTTAGTAGTGAATTACTAACCTAAACAAATACATATACACGGATATTACATCGGTAATCTGATTTTTAGTTTTATCTAAATAATGGCGCTTTTGCGTTGAAATTTGGCTGTCACTCCATCCCCTTAAATATTAAATGTAAACTTTAATTCTCTTCGAGAGCAGACAATGTCTTCTTTTTATGTTAAAATTTAGAAATTTTAATTTTGTCTATATAATAAATAATTTAAGATATTAATTTCATGCATAAACGCGTCTGAATATGTTTCACTATTGAAAAAGAAATATAGTTACCTACAAAGTTATCTACAAAAGTAAATATTTGTATTAAATCTCCGTTGTGAAATTACTCGAATACTGTACTCGAATTTTTGTACTCTAAAGTATCTTAAATCTGAGATTGGTGTATATTTTAATGTCTCAGTGGACGTACATAGTTTTAATATAAAAATAAATTATTTCGCACCAACAATCGCGACAGTTCGATAGCTATTATTAATTAATTGATTAAATTAATCTTTACTACGCATATTTAATTTATACTCACTATTGTAATATCAAATTATATGAAAATGTGTTATCATTGTAGCTAAAAGAATAATATTAAATATTAAACAAAAAAAATCTACGAATATGAGGAAAATAATGAAAAAAGCAAATGTAAGGATGTATTTAGATGATTGGGATAGCGACTGAGATTCACTGTCTCGCAAGGGGTCGAGTAATTAGGTCGAGAGGCTTGGCCCACTATCAAGAATAAAGACAACAAGGTTCGCAACTCAACCGAGTGCTTACTTCTTTCTATTTCTACGTCTGAAACAGACGGTCGATTGATTATTCTAACCTTGCCATGGTTAAATTAAAGCATGACCCAAATTGCTAAAAGCGTTAAGTACAAACAAAAAATAAGTTTCTTCTATATCATTTTCCCTTCAACATTCTCCCAGAAAAATGCAAAAAAATGCAAAAAGATTTTGAAAAAAAAATAGAAGATTTTCATTGATCACTTAAAGCACTGAAAATATAACCAGATCACATCATACAAAATAAGTTTACAAAAAAAAAAATTATAGTTATTCTATTAGAAATGTAAAAGTAAATTAAAAGTTAATATATTAGAAAAAGTATATTAATATATTAACGAAATGAAGGAAATCACGTGGAAAAAGAATCACATGCTGAAGGAAACGTGGAAGTATCAAATGATCATAGTGCTTTCCAAATTGAAAAGCTAATCGGTCATAAAAATTATCCAAGTTGGAAATTTGCAATGAAGGCATATTTGGAGAGCAAAAACCTTTGGGGCTGCGTCATAGACGACGTGGCATATATAGTAGTCGTGAAGAAAAGTCAACGAGTAAAAACGAAAATAATACTTGCACTGGACAAGTTAAACTACAGGCATAGCCTTTCAGGGCACCTTCACGGCACCTTCAGAGCACAGCCACAACAAAAGAAGCGTGGGATAAGCATAAGGCAACGGACATGAAGACACAGGACACCTTTCTAACAAGAAAGGCAAGAAAGAATTCTAACTTCAGTACGGCTTACAGATTGTGCCAATGCAAATAAATATATTAAAATGACAACTACTGCAACGTTTAAACGAATTACAATTTACAATTTATTTACAATTTGCAATGAAAGAAGAAATGATAGGAGCATCATTATTAGCTGGATTACCTGAAGAGTAGAAACCTAATTCTGATAATGAGTCTTGAAAGATTAGGAATTCTTATAACGATTAGGAATTCTTATAAAGATTAGGAATTCTTATAACGAGTGATACAATTAAAAAATAAACAAAAGCTCCAAAGTGCTATGTGTGCGACAAGACAGGTCGCTTTGCTACAAAATGTAGATACAAAAATAAGCAGAAAAATGTACAAAAGGACGATCTGCAAACCAAAATCTGTCTTGCATGCTATTTCTAACTAAGGAAATAGAGGAAAATAGGTTTTTGGATTCTTGTGTCTCATATGACGGACAAAAGCGATTGGTTGAAAAATATAATAGTTAAATTGAGTTCTAAGTCCAAAATAATGGTTGCGAATGATTAAGAAATAATTGCAGAAGCTACTAGAAATTAAAAAATTCAAGTTTTAATTAAGTTTTAGTTAAGTTTTAGTTGGATTTAAAAACTAAATAAATGTGAAAGAAGTGTTGTTCCACGGCTCGCGGCAAATTTATTACCGTGAACAAAACAATCTATTTTTCGGACCTGTTCCTGCCTATTAATCGGTAAAATCCGAGGATCTATTATAAACGTAAGAATAGAATAAAAAATACATGTATTCGTCAAGCAATAAAAAATTATAACACATTTAGCTATTTCAATGTGAAGAGCAGATTTAGTATCCTGCTAATTAATTGGAATTAGCTGGCTTGTAAAACGCATATAGAAACGACTTTTTATACAGCTTAATCTCTGACTCACCATTCCATGACAAAGACTGACACTGACAGCGGAATTTAGATCACCGTCGACTGAACCGCTGTAGAAACAGCCTAAGTGATGATCGGCTTTTTCCCGGCTTGTTACGTTCTCGCTCATGTGTGTCACCTGCATAGTCATAGTGTATAAATTAATTACTGTTAATTAAGCAATTTCAATGTCATTTAGTCAGCAAAGTGGCTGACTAAAATCGGAGTAATAATTATTTAGAAATAGGAACTCCGCTTTCTATAATTTTGATGTTATCAAAGTCATAGTTCTGAGTAACCAAAAAAAGATTTTAGCCTTCAATCATTGTTTATTAAAAAGTTATTAACAAAAAAAGTTTATACTGAATAAAACGTAATTTTTTAACATCATATACAATCAAAAACATTAAAAGTTATCTTGCATTTGAGTATCTCCATCACTTTCCAAAAGCATTTACTACATTCTTTATTTTTCTATTTTTTTCTTTTTTTAATGTTAGATAGGAATTTCCCCTATATTTTATGCATATTGGTTTAATAGTATACATTTATTCAATAAAGTGTCTCTTGTAACGAGATTTGTCACTATGTTAAGTAAAAATATGTCTCTTATAACAGCAGAAAATTAATATAAAACGCTCTCTTAAGCCAACAGAATCAAATAAGCAGAATTGAGTGGTTTTATACTACTTTTATACTACTTTTTCCCATCAAAAATAATTTTGTATTACTTCAAAGAAAGTCGCTCTTGTGAACTTAATACGAAGTTAGCAAGACTAAAAATAAGAAAAAAAATTACAATTATTACTAAATTTGTACTAATTTGTATCACTAAACGAAGCTAATAAATTTGTATTATCTCAATTAAAACAATCATTACTTTAACTAGCCAGAACAAAGTGCCTTTTCCTTAGTAAAGTGAAACAATACTGCTTCAATTCGATGATTTACTTTTAAATATAAATAAAATTAGAACTTTTATCCACGTTTTTCTTTAAACAATCCAACAAATTACAGTGCGCCTTCTTATTGCATACGGTTGTGCACTTTTCCTTTTCATCAAATAATAAAAAATCAAAACTTTTTATTCAAATACAATACAGTATGATTGCGCTGCTCTCGCACTATATAAAAATTGATTAAAAAATAGAGTAATTATTTACACTTAAAATGCCACCTCCAATTTCAATAATTTTGACACATTTGGGGGGGGGGGCGGAGTTCCCTATTCAGCAGTTTTACCAAGTGTATATAAGAGAAGCAATTTACAGTGGAAGCTTGCTCCGGATAAACGTTAAAAGTTTCGTACTTAAGCATTATTACGAAACGGAAAGATACTTTTTATCGATTTATTCTTACTTTTATGTCAGGAGATACGAAACTAGCGTCGTGTGCTAATCGCAGTCGAAATCGTCTGCCGAAGGCGGTGAATTCGTATTGCGGATGAGGATCCCAGACTTCGGCCGACGTGTGCCGAAAGTGACCACTGTGATGCCTCTTTGCCGTAGAATATTTCTCGGCTGAAAGCAAAAGACTTTGTTTCAAATAAAGCAGATTATAAACTACATGAAGAAAAAATGATATTGTGGGATTTATAAATAATATAAAACTATCTATAACTTCTTTTGGATATCTTCCGAATCACCCCTGCGGTCGATCGCTGTGAAATTTTGGGAGGAGGATCAGAGGGTGGAGTCTAGAATGTAGGCGTAGTTTCAACTTTAGCAAATGCGCAGAGAAAAAAGAAAAAAAACCGATTTTTTTCGGTACAAGACAGCACTTATCGACTAAGATCGACTATATATATTAACTGTATATAATTTGCTACTACTTACGTGGATCTTCATATTGATTTTGACTAATTTTTAACGGCTTGATGTATTCCAGATTGTCTTTAGTATATGACAATACATTGATCGATGATGTATCATTAGAGTTCTTCGCACTCTTTTGTGTACTCTCGGAAAGCACTGCAATATAAAAAAATAATTAATTGTATGGCATTTATTTTTCATGTCATCATTGAAATCTTATAAAAAATTTATCAGTTACAATTTCCTGCTTACAATTAGTTATATAACATGCTATATTGCATCCAATTATGTTATGGTTACGTATGTAGATAACTACATTTCTTTTTTATATATTGTTGTTACATACATTACTACATATATTTTTTTTTGTTATAAATTTATAGTATCAAATCTCTGTTTTTGTTTCGATATCTTTATTTAATTAATTCTTATTGCATTTATTACTATTCCGTTCTTCTTTAAAACATTCACTGTGTTTTATTTTGTTATCGTTTCATTCTTCCTTAGAAAAAAAAGTATCATGAAGAAATCTAATTTTTATGAAACTTAATAAAAGAAGATACGATACAACTTTGTTTTTGAATGTTGAATATACTAATTAGCAGTTTAAAAAATCGATCTATTAGTACAAATTGAGTGACCGCATGTATAATGATCGGCCAGCGAATTCTACGATTTCTCTGGCAAGCTGCCGAGGTTACCAGGCGATTAACAATTTTATTTTTTACATTATTATGTATTCCGTTTTATTATAAGCGCGCGATTAGACATATTTATTAATCTATATTCAACGATGGAAAGTATAAAACCTTGCGGAAGTTGTTCGCGTAACAAAGCAGCAAAGCACCGCCATGCCTAATTATATCAGAGCTACCTATAATATGGCCGCAGTGGAGTACGCGTCTGGAGAAATACATAGCGCATACGCACAGTTCTATAATTACGCACGACAGTTTTCGCGAGACGTATCGAATGTCAGGTTTGAATCACGGGGGTCATGAGATAAAACGCGAATCTCTTATAAACTAACCATTTAAATTTACAGGTTTTATTTTACGTACATCACGAACACACGTGTTGATTTTTTTTTTATTGGGGATTTCTATTTAAAAATTTCAAAGTAATTTTTACGTGACCTTAACAATGCTATTTAAACTCACACTAACATTGCTACTTAATGCGCTACTTAAAACCCTACAACTTTTATTTAAAATGTTTTTTATTGTTTTTATACATTTTTATTTTCGAGATATTTGACCATTGCCGGACGCTTGAGACACTCGGTATATGAAACAAACATGTGCTACCTGGGTATTTATATTAATATAAATTCATATTTATTATAAAATTTATACAATAATTTATATTGTAATAATATACAATTAATATACACACGAGAGTACGTGAGCTACTTTGAAAATACCGTTTCAAAAAATTTTTCACATTGGAGTCTCTTATTTGACAATAAATGCTAACGGATGACATTAATAGAGATATGCAGAGAATTCTTAATAGTTGACATATATGTGATATGAAGAAATTTATGTAGCAACATGTTGACGCTATGTCTAGGTCAAGACGATTGGATCTGATTGTGTAATTCTAAATAATCTCGAAACTAAATTTATCAAAATATCTTTAAATCTGAATTACGAACACGGAAGTCTCCGTTCTGTATAAATTTATATATCATTTGCATGCCGATGTAAAATAATTCATGATTCGGCGTGCAAAAATGCAAACGGACAAAACAAAATACATTTCAATATTGTTCATAATTGCAATTTATGCATATTATGCAACATTCAACATTATGCATAACTATATGTAATACCATAAAATTATGGAATAAACTATATAAACCATAAAATTATATAAACTGCATTTGCAATAATAAACAGTAGAGCTTTTGCATATGAGCTACTTATATCTTTAATTCCTTGAGAAAAATTCCTCTAAGAATTAAAAATGTACGAAAGGATGTTTAGTTTCTTTGCAATACTCCATTAAATTTCATACATAACGAAGTTTACGTTTTCGGCACGTTGCATATTGCAGTCTGTTGCTGCACATACGGGATTGTTTGTTAACACTGCGAAAAACAATTGTAATTCTCCGTCTCAACTTCCTAAACTTAAGATTCATCTAAGAAGCCCAATACTTCTAAAAATACTATAGAACGTGCCAGATGGCGTTTATTTTACGTGCTGTAATCCCCTAAAGAATTCTCTTAACAATAACAGTAATTGCTTCCACGTCTTCTATTTTCTGTAGTAAAAATTTTGTAATTTTTAAATGTGTATAAACATAATATAATTAATATATTTTATATAAAACTTTTTAAAAGTTTGAACAATTGTTAATTTTAAAATGTACAATAATTCTTATATGTAAATCAAAAATATATATAGAAATTAAAAAACCTAAAATAAAATATGATTAAATTCAAATATAATCTTTGGCATTTAATTTATACATGATATGAATATTAAATGATATAAATCTTATAATATATTGTTATGTTATACTTTATGAAAATATTCCTTTAAATTTCAAAATTTTAATATTAGATTCGAATTTAAAGACCTTAAAATCTTCAAAAAAAGAAAATAATTTCTCAAATTTGCGTGTACTATATTAGAATTGCCCATACTATTTAAGAAATTCGTCCGCCTACATTAAATTTGAGAACTTTTACCAAAGATTCAAATTCAGTTTCAATTTAAAAAATCTTTATAAATTTTTATATACTACGCACAACACAATTAAGGGAACGCTTTAAAACTTGCGAATTTTTTTCAAGAGGTCGTATCTCAACGTCGGGGAATCATAGAACAATTTTTCTGAATGCGTTTTAAAAGATAAAGCTTTGATTTTAATATAAATAGAGTGACATTGTTCGCCTTAACGAACTGTACTTTTTGTGAGGACCAAAATCAGGTCATACAAAAAGCCTGGATATTTCACGACTTTTCCCTTCCACGGGAAAAACAAGAATGGGACGAAAAATGTTACCACATAGACTTTGAAGTCAGAAATTTCTCTTTTCAAAAGGCACCAGAAACATTATTCTACCATGCCTAGAAGCTGAGTTATCGAGTTTCAAAATTACCCTTGTATTTTTCAAGATTTTGGTAAGCATCGCCGGCATTCACATTATTCAATGTACACGACGGGGAGGTTGTTGGTGGAATTTTGCACATTATGTGGTATATGTATGTTTCAATGTGAAGTGTGACGCATGTATATGTGTATATTTAGAGTGTATAATATATGTGAAATTGTCTGCTTGAATGATTTTTGTTCTGCCACGTGTGTGAATCAGTGTTTGAATGTTTGAATGTGAGTGATTTTAAATTAATAGCACACGATTCAAGCGCACAACAAATCACTCACATTTAGATATCCAAGCATTCAACATTAACTGATCCACACACGTCAAATAACAAAATCATTCAAACACAATTTCACACAAATCACACACTACAAACATACATATAAACACGTATCACATTTCACAATGACACACACATATATCACATACATGATAAACAAAATCCGATCGAGCAACCTTCCCGTCGGGGAAAGATTCATCAATTTTTGCAGAATGTGCTCTTATATTTAGAATATGGTGTTTCGCGTTTAATCAGAATTATTAGTGATTGTACAAGTATCTTTTTTCGTACATTTCAAAGAAAAAATAATGCATACTGTATTTTGAAGCAATTTTCGTGATCGACGCTCACTTTTCTCTCACGCGCGCCGTAGTGATTAAGATAAGCGCCGAACGTTAAGAGTTATTCGATAAATAAATGAGTTTTTTTCAGATTTCCATATCACTCAGATACTGTTAACGCGTTTCTTTTTTAATAATTTCCTTAATAGTCACCTCGTGAATCTTCTTCGCATTATCAACGTATAGAGATACCAGAGATAATAATTATTTTTCGGAATAATCTGGTAACGAGTCACCAAACATGCTTAAGGAAATGTTGACATATAAAAATTACTTGAAATATGCAACTAATTCCGAGCACCGCTAACGAATTAAAACTTACACAGAAGTTAGAATTGAAATACAGCTCTCGACTCAATGCAATATTACTTTAATAAAAAAATTATATTTTCAATAATGATAATCTCTTCAACATTCCGGCATCAACAATAAGACATTTACTTTATATTCTATAAAAAGCAATGTTAGTAAAATAATAAATTATATCGAACATCTCGCGAATCCAATCCAGATGTACCAATACTTTAATATGTATCAAAACACATAAGTGTATTTAAGCAAATTAACTGAAACTTGAAAATTTTGTCCATTGCACAATACAAACACTTCTATTTTTTCAATATTAAAAAAATATATATAATACATAATGATAAAAAAACATTCCTGAGAAAAACGGTGTTATGTAAAGTAAAAAATAAATTTAAAGCTATAAATTCTATTAGCAAATTATATTTTTTATATGATTATATTATAGGGGTCATAAACTATACAAAGCAGAAAATAAAAGATGTGTTTGCATTTTAATATTTTTCGTTATGCTGAATCAAGAAGATCATTCAGAGTTTATGGCAGGTTACATATTCGTATTCTCTCAAGGACTTTTGAACACTTTCATCAACTCATATTCAATATGACCAAATGCTTCTTCGAGTAATCTTGTCTGGCCTTGAATGACCTTGAGCGACACGTCATTAAATTCCTGTCAACACACACGTTATAATATAATAAAAAATTCAAATTTACAAAATCTGAATGTTACAAAATTTGAAATTGCAAAGCAACAAAAAATTTGCTTATATTTAACTATTATTAATAACATTTTGCATACTTTTTAATCATTTTTTTAGTTAGAACAAAAAAAAAATACATTGAATCGTTTAATTTATGTTTTATTTAATGTTCAAAATGTACAATTTAATAAAATTTTTGTTTCCAAATATCTTTAATTACTATATACACTTGATTGCTAACATGTTTCAAGTTATTTTAATTTTCCTTTAAATTTGATGGTCAAAATTAAAAATAATAAAATCTATAAACTTTAAAAAGTAATGGACTTTGATTAAATTTTGATTAAAAGAAATATATCTAAAATTAAATTTCTTATCAATTTGCTTGTCCATTTTCTATAATAAGAAAA